AAAAAAAAGAAAAAAAAAAGAAAAAAAAAAAAGAAGAAAAAAAATAGGGAGTTGGCTTATTGGTCTCGTGCTTATTCATTTCGTATTTAGTAGACCAATTATAGTTTTTGCACGTGTATGTAGACGAGGGAGCTTGAATTGAGTAATCATGTGTAGAATAACTCGGGACGAGTTTTTGTTTCGTTTGATTCATTATGTGGGGACCGTGTCTCGGATTGGATTTTGATTTTGGGATAACCGGATGATAATGAGAGTTTCATTTCGCATATTAGTTAATTTTGGACCGTTCGATATATTTTTTCGAGCTACTTGTTATTTTTTTTGCTTGAGGACAAGCAAAAAGCTAAGTGTGGGGGAGTTGTTTGTTACGTTTTTGTGCTTATTTTCTTGGTTTTTATGTGTTAGTCAAGTCGTTTTTAGGCTCGCTTGAGTGTCAACCGGTCCATTTTATCATGTTTTATGTGTTTTTATTTTTATTATGTGTTTTTGTATTTTGCCGTATTTTTGCGTCTCTTTTGGTGTGTTGTGTAGGTCCTATTTGCATGACCGGGAAGACGGGCTATTTTCTGAGACATTTTCGAGCCATGTCCGAACCTTATCCGAGTTATCCCAAGCCATTTATGAGACATGAGGTGCACAAGGCGTTCGCCCGCGAAAGACTGCTCGCAACCAAATCATAGGCTCCCAGACCACTCCCAGCGAAATGGTGTTCGCGTGCCGCGAGAACGCCCATGCCAACCTTGCTAAACCCCACACACTCGCCAGCGAACGGGCGTTCGCGTGCTGCGAGCGCGCGCACCAACCCCCAACACACTCGCCAGCAAACGGCATTTGGCATCCCGCGAAGACAACACGCACATGACCCTTACACGTATGCACTCGCTGGCGAACTCCTTTTCACGTGCTGCGAAATGCGAGCCCCAGCAGCCCCATCAGTGCACTCGCCGGCGAACTCCTCTTCGCGAGCCGCGAAACGCCCATCTGCAGCTCCTAAGGCCCAACTCGCCAGCGAACTCCCATTGGCGACTCGCGAAACACCCATTCCAGCACTATTCCATGCCCAAACTCGCTACGAACTCCGTTTCGAGACCCGCGAACTGCAGAATTTCATTAAATGTGTGTGTTTTTAGTGTGTGTTTGTGGTGTAGCATTTAAAGACATTTTGCTTTGTATTTTTGGAGACAACTCTCATTTCCCAACTTTCAAGTTGGGAAAATCTTCTCTATTTCCTTTTTCTTTTTATTTTTATTTTGGTTTGGAGCTTTATGAATCAAGTTTTCCGGTGAACTTCCGGCGATATTGTTTTGAGCAAAGTTTCAAGCTTTTGATTCCGTTTCTTCTCCCGAGTGCATGTTGGAGTGGGTAACTTAGTCTTAAGCCCCATTACCTCGTTCTTTCTTGCTTTGGTAAATTGATATTGTGCTTGAGATTTTGGAAGAAAAGATTGTTGCTTTGGATCATGAATGTTTGACTAAGTGTGATAGGAGTTGAATTCTTGTTCGATTCATGCTAGAGTTTGATTTGACTTCCTAGGATTTTTAGCGAACATGGCAATGGTTGGATTTTTGCGTGCTTTTGATCATGATGACACTGGTGAACCAAAATCTCTCTTTCCCCCTTGATCTCTCTAATCTTCTTGCATGCTTTACTTGCTTTCGATATCAATTTCGTAGATTAGCTTAGCTTAAATCAACCCTCAATTCAAGCGATTAGCATGTTTAGGACGTTTTCGGTTGTGTGACTTTGACGACTAGGTAGTGAACGAAGCTCCGAAGAGCCTTTCTTTGAGAACGTCCCGAGTCGGGTAACTCGGTTACCACATGCCCAAAAATACTACTAAACACTAGCTGACGTGGAATTTTTACCTTTTCTTTTGAGTTGTAAGGCTGACATGACAAATTATGTGGCATATTTACAAAAAAAGATGCAGATGAGGGGTTTCAAACCCAGGTTAATAGGCTCATAAGTTGTGTTAAGTCACACATTTCTAAAGCTTGACCGCAAGTATACGGCTTCGCTCGTAGTATGTGGCAAGCAAGGTCGTATCCCAAGAGATCCAATAATTAATATATCAAGTACTAGATGATGATAGTGTCAACTTTATTTAGACGATCGAATATGAGATGGATTAACTAAACTAAGAAAATAAATCAAAGCAAATAAAGCAAGAACAATGAATAAACTAAAGAACATGTAAGACAAACGTATGAGAATGAGGGATTCTAAGACTGTGAGTTCAATTAATAGTTAGGATTTTTCAGAAATATCACAACTAAATGTTTTCTTTATCTACCCTATAAGACGATCACAAATTTAGCATATCGTCCCTCTCGAGATCGATAAAACCGTGGATTAAATCAAATATATTAGCGTCTCCACTCGACATATGCAATTCAACTCCAAATAGATTAAAAGATCTAAAATCCTCACAATTACCTACTAATCTCTCGATTCAAGCAAGTAAATTATGTCAAATATTAAAGACCTAATATTGAACTCATCTCTCGAATTATGAACAATATTATCAAACATGTAAAAGAATTGATCAAGTTCTAAACATGAATAAGAATAAAATACTTGAATAAGGTTCAAAAGAAAAACACTTAATTATAAATAATTAAATAATCCAAATCTCAACATATTAATTTACTACCAAGTCTTAGAATCAATAAATCTAGCCACTCATGTTCGAATTCAAATACATAGACATTAGAAATCGACATGATCAATAAAAGTTCAAGAGGAAAGAAGAAATAAAAACTAGGAATCTCGTCGATTTTTCAATCTCTTTGATCCCTTCGTAGTTGATCCTCTTTTTGCTCCTTAATTGCTTCTCTTGTGTGTTCTAGGGCTCTTCTCTTGTGTTCTCCCTCTCTCAAAATAGGGTAAATATGCCTTTTATAATGTCTAAAACCCTTCTCCTTTTCAAAATAGGTAAGATATAAAAAAACAGCCTGCGCGCGTGACACGGCCATTCTGCCCGTGTCGCCGTCCATGTCGTTGCCCGTGTCAGGTCAAAAGCTTCGAAATCCTTCAGTTAGGTGACACAGTCACCTGACACGGGCATGGTGCCCGTGTCACTACTCGTGTCACGAATCTGCACTCTATTTTTCACTTGTTTCACTCATTTTTTTCTATTTTTTCATCCGTACATCAATCTTTCATCATCCCGGGATTCCTAGGTACTCACCATGCGTCTCCAATAGCTAAAAGCTCTACAAATATGTGGAAAATATCTATAAAACAAGCACGTGTAATACCTTTCCAACAAGATAGAGAATTAAAACACAAATATGCAATTTATACTTCAATAATGCAATGACTAAGCAATAGAGAGAAAA